AAAAAAAAAAATTTAACCAGGCGTTGTGGGGGGCACTTTATAGTCCCAGCTACTGGGGAGGCTGAGGCAAGAGAATCGCCTAAGCCCAAGAGCTGGTGGTTGCTGTGAGCTATGATAGCATGGCACTCTATCGAGGGTGATAAAGTGAGACTCTGTCTCTAAAAAAAAAAAAAAGTGTGGAAATCTCCTGGAATGGCTCCTCCCCTAGTGGGCCGTCAATACACTCTTGCTGTTTTTCATCATCTTCTTTATCTCCAAGCCCTGTTGCATGAGAAACCACCATCAGAATTCGTTGGAATCGTTGCCTCCCAGCCCTTCTCAGTGAACTGAGTCCCAGCTAGCACATCTCACGTCCAGCTCGGATCACTGTGATGGTTGTCCTCTGCTCCAGAGCTCCCTGGAGAATCCTTTGAGGCAGGACGTCTACCCTTCTGCGGAAGGGAAAGTAGGGCTCTTGCCACAGCAGCACAAGCTCTGCTTCTGCAGAAGCCGGAAAACTCATGCCGAGGCTGCATGACACAGAGCCTGCACCGCAAGACAGCAGCTGCCTCTGCCAGCTCATTTGACCCAGCCACTTGCTGTCCTCTTTGGAGCAAGCTGGGAGGAATAAGTGGCTAAATGCCACATCACTCATTGGATTCTCACAGAGACTAGAAGCAAGGCAGGGCAGAGACCGTACACGCAGATCTAGCTATTTCCCGTTGTTCTTCATTAAAACAAAAAAGAAGTATAGATACAAATTATATAGTGATTAACAACATGTCCTAGGGATCATTTTGCCTATTCATTCATGAGTCTGAGAAGCTGCTTCCCTGTGTGTCCTTGACTAAAGCGAGTGTCCTTGAAATAACAACAGAAAAAGTGACATTCGGGTTTTGTGGATTGGCTCACTGTCTTCTCTGCCTGCACAGCTGTTTCTTTTAGAAGAGATGAGGGAGAGAAAGTATGACGGATATGCTCGAGTGATACAGAAATCATGGAGGAAATTTGTGGCCCGGAAGAAATATGTTCAAATGAGAGAAGAAGGTATTTAAGTCATTTTGACGCGTTCGTTTAACAAATTTCAAGAGTTCCTTTTTATTTTGCATATAATGTCATATGTTAAAAGTCTTACATCATTTCGAGTTTTCTGTGCATTTCCACACTAAGTGTTTCTTTTCCTCCTTTTTCTGGCTGACCGATCCTTCTTCTATCGCTACCTGCTTGGGCATTATAGCCTCAGACCTCTTGTTGAACAAGAAGGAGAGAAGGAGAAACAGTATTAACAGGAACTTTATCGGGGATTACATCGGGATGGAAGAGCACCCAGAACTCCAGCAGTTTGTGGGCAAGAGGGAGAAGATCGACTTTGCAGACACTGTCACCAAATACGACAGGAGGTTCAAGGTACTCACTGACTGCTTGCCTCTGGGAGTCAACACATCACTTGTTTTTACTTGTTTTTTTTTGAGACAAGGTCTTGCTCTGTTGCCCAGGCTGAAAGTTAGTGGCATCATCAGAGCTCCAACTCTTGGGCTCAAGTGAACCTCCTGTTTCAGCCTCCCAAGGAGCTGTGACTACAGGTGCCCACCACCACACTTGGCTAATTTTTCTATCTTTTGTAGAGACAGGGTCTCATGCTTTCTAAGGCTGGTCTCAAAGGCCTGGCCTTAAATGATTCTCCCAGCTGAGCCTCCCAGAATGGAGGATTATAGGTGTGAGCTACTGTGCCTGGCCCTTATATTTTTTTTTAAATATTTTGTAAATAATTTGTTACCAAGCAGAGTATGTTCATTATCAAAAAAGTTAGAGAATAAGGCCAGGCACAGTGGATCATGTCTGTAATCCCAGCACTCTAGGAGGCCAAGGTGGGTTAGATTGCCTGAGCTCAGGACTTTGAGACCAGTCTGAGCAAGCAGACCCCATCTCTACTAAAACTAGAAAAAACGAGCCAGGCATTGTGACAGGTACTGTCTCAGCTACTCAGGAGGCTGAGGCAAGAGGATTACTTGAGCTCAAGAGTTTGAGGTTCCTGTGAGCTATGACACCCCAGCACTCTACTGAGGGCAACAAAGTGAGAGTCTGTCTAAAAAAAAAAAAGTTAGAAAATACAGATAAGCCAAAAAAGAAATAATCCTACAGAACTTTTTTATATAGACATACATTTGGATATTTAGTTTTACAAAAAATGAGATATATGTCATGCTGTTTTATGTCCTGAGTTTTTTTTTTTTTAATGATCCTAAGGAGAACTTTTATATTAATAAATGTATCAATATAAATCATTTTGTATAGCTGCATAGTATTCCATGCAGCTGATGCTTTATTTTTTTTTAAACCAATTTCTCACTAATCAATTCTTCGTGAGTTTCTATTTTTCTTCTTTTTTCTTTCATAACGGCCATGAGCACCTTTCCACATATCTTTTTGCATTTGTCTCCTGATATTGTTAGACTAAATTGATAAAATTGGTTTGCTCAAAGAATTATGAAGATCAAGTAATATTGCAAAGTATTCTCACCCCTTTACCCTAAGCCAATGACTAAAGCTTTCCTAGGGCCACTGGAGGAACATCTGACGTTTTTTCATCTCTTCCCTTAGAAACTTTCTTTTGTCTGATATAATTCTGGTCCTCAGAATCTCATGGACCCATTAAGAGGTTTTTGCCATTTTGTTTTGGTCAGGAAAAAGAATTACTGAAATAAATAACAGTCATTTCGCAAGAAAGGTGATTTGATTTTGCTAAAAGCAAATCATGCCTTGCGACCTGAATATGGTGCCCACTCCTATGGCAGCAGTTTTGAATGCAAACGTGGGTACTTGAATTTCCCAGCAGTGCTTGGTTATAGGGTGGCCACCCACATATCACAAAGTATGTTTTTATTAGATTTTAAGAATGATCATAAAAATATGTCCAATTTTTAAAAAATTGCATGGACTCCCATAAAAATATAGGCAGGCACTTAAGGGACCCCTGTTTGGGAAGTGTGGTGCAGCAGATCATTGGTAAGGCCACCGTCCATATGTGTTGGTACTGTCCCTCTGTCCCTTTGCATCTGTTACCCGGATACCTTACGTGGATCCACATGAGTTTGCCGTCAGCATGTTCATATGGCCACATCTCAGCCCTACTCATTAACTCATTAAGAATGTTCCTCCTTCTTTTTTTTTTTTGGACACAGTCTCACTCTGTCACCCAGGCAAGAGTGCCCTGGTGTCAGCCCACCTCACAATGACCTCAGACTCCCAGACTCAAGTGATGCTTCTGCCTCAGCCTCCAGAGTGGCGGGGGCTACAGATGCCCACTGCAACACCTGGATAATTTTTCTATCTTTAGTAGAGACAGGGTCTGGCCCTTGCTCAGGCTTGTCTCAAGCTCCTGAACTCAAGGAATCTTCCTGCATCAACCTCCTAAAGTGTTAGAATTACAGGTGTGAGCCACCGTTCCCAGCCTCTATCCTCCTTCTTAGAGCTCCTCTTCTTGCAGGGTGTAAAGAGAGACCTACTTCTTACCCCAAAGTGCTTGTACTTAATTGGACGAGAAAAGGTCAAGCAGGGCCCAGACAAAGGCCTTGTGAAGGAAGTCCTGAAGCGGAGGATCGAGCTGGAGAGACTGTCGGCTGTGTCCCTCAGGTGAGTGGCAGGGGCTGCGGCAGGACTGCTCAGAGGCACCATCTGCTCTTTTTATTTTTTTTTTTTTGCAGTTTTTGGCCGGGGCGGGTTTGAAGCTGCCACCTCCGGTATATGGAGCCAGCGCCCTTACTCCTTGAGCCACAGGTGCCTCCCACCATCTGCTCTTTTAACACAGCTGGGAGAAGGCCAGCTTGGGTGCCCTCAGTGTCAAAATCATGATGTAGAAAATAAAGTTTCCCTTCTTCCCAAAGGAGACCTGAACTTCATAGTGTCGGGGAGGCCTCGTAGGACAGGAATGAGACGCTAAGGAAAAGTTGCCTCTGGATACCTTCCCTAATCAAGGGCTAGTCGAGTCTATTGTTCCTTTAAGATTGTAGAAATATGGAGGGATCTGGAACACATCCTCCTGAGTAAAGTGTCTCAAGAATGAAGGAAAAGTATCCAATGTACTCAGTACTTCTATGAAACCTACTTACATTTACTCACACTTTCTTGTAAAAAATAGAACACAACTATAACCCAGGATGATGGAGAGAAGTGGAGTGGGGCAGGGAGGTTCAACAGAGGGAGGGTAAAAGGCGGGATCACACCTATGGAACATATGACAAGAGTACAAGTCAAATCTGTGAGGTGTAGAACATAGATGTTTTGGCACAATAATCAAGTAAAGGAGGTGAAAGCTATGTGGATTGGTTAAATGTAACCACATTAGATTATATGGAACATATGACAAGAGTACAAGTCAAATCTGTGAGGTGTAGAACATAGATGTTTTGGCACAATAATCAAGTAAAGGAGGTGAAAGCTATGTGGATTGGTTAAATGTAACCACATTAGATTATATTAAAAAAAATCAGCACATTGTACTCCACATATGCATAAATGTATTCATGATCTATGTGTCTTTGACTTAATAAAATAAATAAATAAGTAAAAAATTGAAAACAAAATATTGTAGAAATAAACCTAATATATGGAACACATCAGGGAATAATTGTTCCTATTGACGTGGAGCCAAGGATTCAGAACCCTGAGCCCCAGCCCCCACTCCCAGTTTGAAAACGTAACCCGTTTCACCAACCGAGGTCAATCAGAGGTGTCCTAGCTGGGAAGCCTCTCTGGGTCATCCTTAGAACTCCTTTGGCGAGTTACAAATTAGTCTCTGTAATCTGTAGCCCAGAGTGATGATGACCAGGTGCTCCTGAGCTCCAGGTTCACAGGCAGCTGGCAGCAGTGGTCACTCCCTCCTGTTCTCAGCTGGGCCTTGCTCTTCCTGTTACCACTCTGGCCTCCTTTCCCAGAAGGGCTCCTGCGTGTGAGGAGACCTCCCGAAGTCCTCCCATGCTAAGAACTCCTAGACTGAGTTCCTGTTCTGAGAGAAGCTTCTAATCCAACGGAAGACTAAGAACAGGAAGAAAGGCCCCCTTGGGTCTTTCTGAGGCATGCGGGCTGCCTTTGTGCTGGAGATGTTCCAATCATGTGAACGTGGACGTGGGACACCTCTCTAAACTCTGGCTCTGCACAGAAGACAGAACTGTTGGACTCAGCAAAAGCAGGGGATTTGTGTGCTCAGGCGTCAGAGCTACTGTACTGGAAACGCTGGCTCCAGTGTGGGTAATCCAAAGCAGATTCCTAGTGGCCTCCATTCCTGCCTGTGTCTCTGTGGTTTCCGAACCTATCTGTTCCTAATTTTCCTGGATAAAGGGCCAGGCAGTGCAGTGAGGTTAAGCGTTTGAAACATGCCAGCTCAGGATGTGGTGACATTTCTAAGCAGATGAGTCCACCACGGTCCTTTTTGCAGCCCCGCTTCAGGTAGGTCTCAGCGCCATGGTTCAAGGCAAAGCTCTAGGAGCTGACTGGTTTTCAGAAGTCTTTCAGTCAGCTCCCTGGCTGGGTCAGAGCCTGAGCAGGCTGAGCTCACTCTCCTGGCGAGCTGGGCCCTGAGGCCACCTTTGGGGTTCCAAGGAGCCCAACAAGGAGCTTCTTGTCGTTGCCTGGGGACCTGCTGAACCTGGTTAACTGTGGCTGAAGGCCAGGGACTCGTGGCTCTAGGGCACAAAGGGTCATTATTCTGAGAATAATTATTGTTCTTTCTGATGCTATTGCCAGGGTCTGTCTGCAGTTCCTCAGACCACTGGCAGGGTGCTCATGGCGGCCTTAATAAATAATACCAACACAGCTCTGTTGGCAGCAAGCGCTGTGACCCTGACTGTCCTGTTGGTAAATCCCTGGGCTTATCAAACACGGAGCGATCACACTCGGCTGTCTTCTGTTCCTTTCATTCTCCTTCTCTCCTAGCCTCTGGGGATACAAAGTCTCAGCAGCTTCTTTTTCTTCTTCCTTAGTATTCATGGTCTGGAAGTTGGTTTCCTTGTGGCCTTCCCTTTTTGGAAACTGGAACAAAATGAAGTATTTAGCCTAAAAGTTCTTCTGACTCTAAGGAAACAAAAAAACACAGACTCTGAGTCATTTGAACTTGTGATGTCTGCATAATGGCAGTTCCTGAGCCTGGCACTTGCCAGGATGAATGCTGCTCCCTCATTTCCTTTGTACACAGAGTTAGGGCAGCAATCAGAAACCAAGTTAGGGAAGCACCCAGAGGGCGGATGGTGTCTGCAGAATCAAACCCAGAGTGGAAATTAGTTGTGGTACCAAACTGCTGAATGTGTTTGTGTGTTCTTGAAGCCCTACAGTACTGAGAGAGAGAAAGATTTTAAAGTTGGCTTGTACTTCAACATTTGTGTGTTTTTTTAAGTATATATGAAACCTTCTGGTTGACTGTCACCATTTGGCCTCTACTATTTAAGACATATCAGAGTCCCATAAGCTTGATCTTTCAACTCACCTCTAATTCTTTAACATGTCAGTGCACACAGCTGCCTATTCAAACAAACCAACCATTTGAAAACAGTTACAACATGAGAAAAGTGACCTTGACTCAACAATTGATATGAAAGACTTATTGTTCGTTTCTTTAGGTCTGATAATGGTATTGTTGTTAATTTTATATAAAGAGACTTTTTTTTTTTTTTGAGACAGAGTCTCACTATGTTGCCCTTGGTAGAGTGCCATGGTGTCACAGCTCATAGCAACCTCAAACGCTTGGGCTTAAGTGATTCTCTTGCCTGAGCCCCCAAAGTAGCTGGGACTATAGGCGCCCACCACGATGCCCGGCTATTTTTTTGTTGTTGCTACAGTTGTCATTGTTGTTTAGCTATCCTGGGCCGGGCTCAACCCCTCCAGCCTTGATGCATGCGTGCCTTAACCACTGTGCTATGGGCGCCAAGCCTATATAAAGAGACTTATATCTTGCGATAATACACACTGGAGTATCTAAGTAAAATAATATAATATTTTTACTTTGCTTGAAAATAAGTTGTTGTAAAGCTGTTTCAAAGTGGCAATGGGGAGAGCGAGGAAGTATGTAAAGGTGGTCGTGCACAGATCTATAGTCGCTGAAACCTGCTGACTTGTGGTGGTTCATTCTAATAGTTTACTTTTTTATGTATTTGGAATTTTCCCCAATAAAAACTTGTTCTGAGCCTCTAGTAGGCATTAAGTTTTTAGAAGTCTATCTTTTATAAATATACTAATACATGTCTAGTGAATTATAGGTAAATTTTTGTTAAGTTTTTATTCACCAAAAGAATAGGTAGAAAAGAGATTCAATGGCTCAGAGAGATACGAAGATTGCCTAAAGGGACTTCAGGTTAATCTGAACAGGAAAAACCCTTATCTAAATGAAAATTCGACTAAAACACTGATGCCCGCATTTCTGCTTTCATCAGAGCGAGAATGTCAGGGGGCTGTAAACTGACCCGGAGCTGGGACGTGAGGTCTCCCAGGCTTGGCATTCTGCTGGCAGAAGGCCATGCATCTGTTTGTTTGGATTTTCTGGATTTTGTTTTTGTTTTTGCTTTTGGGGTTTGTTTGGGTTTTTTTTTTTCATTATTTTTTATTAAATCATAACTTTGTACATGGATGCATTTATGGGGTTCAGGGTACTGCTTCAATATACAATGTGAAATGTTTACATTGAACTAAGTAACATCACAATTATACTCATTTTTTTTTTTTTTTTGGTTTTTGAGACAAGGTCTCACTCTGTCACTCTGGCTAGAGTGCAGTCACCTCATCATAGGTCACTGCAGCCTTGCAACCCTGGGCTCAGGTGATTTCTCCCACCTCAGCCCCCTGAGTAGCTGAGAGTACAGGCATGTGCCAATATGCTTAGCTAATTTTTCTAATTATGTAGAGGCAGGGTCTCTCTGTATTGCGCAGTCTGGTCTCAAACTCTTGGCCTCAAGTGATCTTCCTTCCTCAGCCTCCCAAAGTGCTAGGACTACAGGCACAAGCCACCATGCCTAGCCTCATGCATCAGTATTTTGAATGATCTTTTCTTTCTCTTTCTTTCTTAGAAAAGTAAGTCTTTTTTCTTTGTTTTTTGTTTTTTTGACACAGAGTCTTACTCTGTCACCATGGGTAGAGCCATGGCATTATAGCTCCCAGCAACCTCAATTTCTTGGGCTTGAGCAATCCTCTTGCCTCAACCTCCTGAATAGCTGGGACTGCAGGCATGTACCTCAATGCCTGATTTTTCTATTTTATTTTTTAGTACAGATAGGGCCTCACTTTTGCTCATGCTGGTCTTGAACTCTTAAGCTCAAGCAGTCCACCTATCTCGGCCTCCCAGAGTGCTGAGATCATAGACATGAGCCACCACGCCTGGCCTTGAAGGATCTTTCAGTAGCTGCTTCTTTTCCACATCCTGACCTGGCCTCATTCTTACCTGAAAAACGATTTGTGAGAAAGGTGACCGCAAGGTGTGATGACCCATGTTCTTGGCTTTCCTATTGTGGGCATTGAGATTGGTGCCATGGACTCCAATATCTGGGGCTCTCTCAGCCTTCTCATATTCTGTCTCATTGCAACCTCTGACCCTGGGAAGGCTAAAATGAAAAGCTCTGTGACTGTCTGTGGGGAAAGTCCATAGACTTTCC